GAATAATATTTTAGGTAAATATGCTGAATATCTTTTAAGCAGTATAAAAAATATGCTTTTTATGGAATAAAATCCTCTATGTGTGTATGTGTGTCTACAGAAAAGATAGTCTCTGCTTTAGCGGCTGAGTATATAAATTTCTGTTTACATTCTATTCTACAAAAGGAGATCATAGCTTTATAACCTACCTTTTTCCTCACCTGTATCTTATAAACATTTTTCTACTTAAAAAAATATATTTTTCTATTAAGTGACTTTGGTAGCTTTGGAATTTTCCATTACATAGGTATACCTGATTTTACTTAATCCATTGTTTTTGGAACATTTAGATTGTTTCTAATTATAAATAATATTATCGATCACATCCTTCCCTATCACTTTCCGAACAAGTGCATACTTCCTTAGACTAAATGCCTAGAAGTGAAATTGCTGGGTCAAATACTATACACATAGAGTGGTGTCCCCACCCGCCGCCCCCACACTTTCATCCATGGTTTTGCTTTCCATGGTTCTGTCTCCCATGGTCAACTGCAGTTCAGAAGCAGATGATACTCCTCCAGGCATATGTCAGAAGCTCAGTAGAAGCCTAATGTTATGTCACAATTCCTGCACCAGTCCTCGCACTTTATCTCATCACATAGACATTTTGTTCTCTCTCATCACAAGAGTGTAGCACAGTAAGATGTGTCGAGGAGAGACCACATGCTCGTAACTTTTATTACACTATATTGTTATAATTGCTCTGTCAGTTGTAATTGCTAATTTCTTATTACACCTAACATAAATTAAACTTTATGATAAGAATGTATGTATAGAAAAAAAAACAAGGCATATGTTGGGGTTTGGTACTGATATGATAAGAATTTACTGGTCTTGGAACATATCCCCCATGAATAAGGAGGGGACTACTATATTGCTATAGAAAGATTGTGATGGTTTATAATATGGTATCTGTGAGAGTGCCTCTCTTCCCAAACCTGTGTCCACACTGAGTATTAGATTTTCAAAAACTTTTTGTTAAATGACATTCAAAGTTATAAAGTAGTGTTATTTTGATTACTAATGAAGCTGGACATTCTGGAATGTAAATTATTTGTTTTATTAATTTGTGCATTATATATTCCTATTCCTTGCCCATTTTTAATTAGCAAATTGAATCTTTTATTGGTTTGTGATAGCTGTTTGTTTATCAAGGATATTAACATTTACAGCATATGTCAAAAATATTTTTAGACTTTATTGTTTACTTTTGTATTTTGTTTGGTGTTTCCAGTTTTAAAAGAAGAAGTAGAAATATTTCCATTTTCCTGATTTCCAAGTAGTGAATCATATCTGATAGTAGAAAATGTTCACACTTTGCAAAAATTATAGCAATAATGGTTTTTGTGCTTGAGAAAAATCATACATGTAACTTATAACCATCGAAGATGAGTACGTTTTACCACTGTGACTTTAAATTATTTTTTCCTTATTCTCCAGCAATTTCTATATATCTGGAAGCTCTTGTTGATTATACTTGAAAGAAGTAAGCAGCACAACAGAAATCCAATTTTTCTGAATAGTTAGGTCCCACTGGCTGATTTATAATGTCAGTAGATATCTCAAAATCTTAAATCTTGAGTTCAAAGTCCTCACTTATGTCTTGACAATAGCTTTCAGGCCCATCAAGACAATAATAAACACATTCCTGCTCTTTTAAGCTACAGAATCATATTCTTTATATCTGTTGACATACTTTTTCAAAGGAAAAGAAACTTTTTTCAAAAAAATAAAACCTCCCTTTTTTATTTAATTCCATTGGGATGGTAAGAACAAAAAGACTTCCACCTTAATGGTATATCTTAATTCCTCAAGAATGAGGAAGAAAAAAGAGAGGAACTGAAGTGGAAAGGGGCAATATAAAAAAATCCCTCCTGGATGAAGTTAAGGGGCTTTTAGAGTGCGTAACCTGGCTTTATTTCACAGAGACTGTAGAGGTTTTTGAGCTATTCCTTGGTCATTTAGGAGGACTCAGAGTTCATTTCTGATGCCGTTCAGAAGAATGGTTCACACATTTACTTGTCAGTCATTGTCAATCCAATAGCATTTATCACAAACATGTTAATTCAATCAAGGTTGCAGTGAAATGAAGTAATTATTTCCTGATGGCTGTTATTACCATCCATGGTGAGAGAGATTATTAGTTTATTTCCAAGTAAACATCATCTCTACAGACAGGCATAAACCCAATCAACAAAAGTTTGATGTCATTATTACTCATAGATAGAAAAAATTTACCTCTAAATCAATATATTCTGTGTGGCATACTCTAACATTGGTAGTAAATGAGCATAATCTAGGCTGTTTTATTGCAAACTTTGGTATGCATATTCTAAAAGAAGAAAACTGAAAAAGCCAGTATTCTGTAGCCACTTTGGCTATGAAAATCTTTCCTGCCATTGTCACGTGGGCTCCACACAATGATACAACTATTTAGAAGACTGTTTCTGTGCCATCTGGAGTTTCATTCCCACATTGCCAAGTAAAACTTTCTCCCCAGGAGCTGCAGTCAACCTTGTAGAAGGAAGACTCTTACCTAAGAGGAGACAGCCTCCAGCATGCTGTTCCCTCTTCAGGAATACTCTTCATCTAAGGAAGAGCTACTCATCCCTTGAGTCTGTCCTGTGTCTGGGAGCCTTCTTTACTCTCTCCGCTGGGCTGGGTGACCCTTTTAGTTTGCTCTTTAACTACCCTATCAGTCTTATGAATATTCATCAAACTTGCAGTATTTGTTCACTATCTTCTTCCGGACTATATGGTGAGCCCTAAGGGGATGAGTGCCATATCTGTCTTCTTCACTCTCCTACTCCAGTTCCTAAAAGAGTGACTGGCACATACACATTCTCAGCAAATATTTGATGAGTGAGGATTAAGTAAATGAACACATGTAAAGTGCTTCGCTTCATTTCTGGAATATGAGGGTACTCCACATACATGGGTGCTCGTGCATGAGCCATCACACAGCTCTGTGTAATTCTGAGCCCTAAACATATTTAATTTCATTGGTAGAGTTTTTGAAAGAGTGTCTGTGCCCATAGTCCTCACAGCAACATTTCTGCAGGCTCCCAAGTTCTCTTTTGTTAAACTGAGCTGGGTCAGGAGGCGGGGTCAGTACCTGGTCACCTGAAAAAATGAAACGAGTTTTACACTGGATCAAACGAGGAAAAGAGCCCCCACTACGGTCTGTGAGATGCTACACCTGCCCATTGCCCTTCCCACCTTCCCATGGTATTCTGACACTTGGCTTTTGGATGACTTACTACTACAACTCTTCAGCTAACTTACAGCCTTCCATTTCTAGTTGTTTTCAGAGTCTGGTCCAGCCTGCAGTGTGTCTAAATGCTGTGGTAATGAGCCATCGTACAACCGAGTCCCATAGTTGTATTCAGATTGGTTCCCTGAGGTAAAGCAGAGCCATCTCTACTCATCACGTTTGTGTTTATAGACAGCCCTCAACTTAAAATGGTCTCATGTAGGATCTTTGAACTTTAAGATGGTGTGAAAGCCATATGCATTCAATAGAAACTGAACTTTGAATTTTGAATTTTGATCTCTTTCTGGGCTAGCAATATGTGGTAGAATATTCTCTCATGGTGCTGGGGGTGGCAACGAGCTGCAATTTCCAGTCAGCCATGCAGGGATAAACAACCGAGATGCTCATGATTCTGTACCCATACAACCATTCTGGTTTTCACTTTCAGTGGAGTATGCAATACATACACGAGATATTCAACAATTTTGACCGGAGCCTGGGAATCTGGTCGAATCATTACTAATTAGGGGAATGCAGGAAAAATATAAAGTTTATGGAGGAAACCTAGCTTTGTAACACACTGAATTTGAGGTGCTGGAAGATCCCAGCTATTGAAAATGTGAGCTAGAGTTCAAGAATAATGTCAGGACTGCATCACATATATTGACCAGGGTGCCATCACTTTTGGTGGCCTGGCTCCCTTTGTCTTTCCATAAATGACACATAGTTTAATCCCAGCCAGTCTTTTCTTTAGAAGATGGAACATCTTACAAATAAGAGCCTTTGACTTTCTCTTAGAATAGTCTGGGGGTATCACAGTTTGTCACCACCTCTGACGTTCTATGATAGATGCTTTCTATAGCCCTTCCATTTAAATGTTGGAACTTTTAGTCATTTTAGAAGGTAAATAATACATTCTCATGATTGGGGAAACTGAGACCGCGTAGGGGAGTGAGCCGGTTCATACAGCTCATTACCAGAGTCCTGGTCCCTAGTCCTCTGCTTCCCCTGCTGGGACCAATGGTACCTTTCAGACCCAGCAAGCAAGGGGACAGCCAGGTAACTTACTGCTTCCCACCCTGCCTCCGCAGTGTAGCTTGCTCCTGTGCATTCAGAATTATTCTTTAAAACCACTTTGGGTCTCTTACTGTTGATTCCTTCTAAAGTCCTGAGCTTTAAAAATGCTTTTCTTTCCTGCTTTCTTGAGAGTCTAAACACAGTCACTTTATGTTCACTTCTACCAGGAACTTCGTTGGTGTTTGTTATAGCCTGCAGTTTCTACACACACACACTACACCCAGTTCTCCCTTCCCAAATAAATGTTTGTTTCCTGGCAATGGTTTTAAGTTGTTAAACTGGAAAGGATTGTTGCACAGAAATTTGTCTTTATGTTTGCCTTCATGGGGTCCTCTCACCCCACTGACACTAACGGATCTTGTCCATCACCAGCGTCTTCTGTGAAAGATGATGAGAAGCTTTCTTAGGGTTGGTGAGGGAATGGGCCATAAGCTGGAAGAACAAATAATGCACAAACAAGGTCTTGCTTATAACATTAAATGCTACAGTGCATCATTCAAAACTATTATAATAAAGGTTCATCCAAGTAACTGAGTACAGTTCAATTAAATGGCCTACAAGTTGGCTTTGCCTTACCATTGTAGAAATTAATGCTTTTTATTTTCGGTTTGTTCCTTGTTCTACCTTGAAGATGCCTTGAACCTTCGAAACCGACAGGTTATCTGCGTCACCCTTAAAGTCCTCCAGCATCTGGTGGTGTCAGCTGAGATGGTGGGTGAAGCTTTGGTGCCCTATTACCGGCAAATCCTCCCCATCCTGAACATCTTTAAGAATATGAATGGTGAGTGATCCCAGGAGTCAAATGTCTTTTAAGCCCTAAGAAAAGGGAGTGGTTTGAAGTACAGTTAATTCGCAACACATTTAGGATCTATTATTGCTTATAAACCAAGATCCATTTGGAGATCTAAATAGTGTAACTCCCACCCTTCCCTGCTACTCCTCAGAGAAACAGTAAAATTAACAAATTCATTTATTACTCCTCACACGTACAGCTTACTTCCTCAGCACAGAAGCGTTGAAGCAGTTCTGTAATCTCCCAGTAATTAAACTGTAAAGTTTTTGTTAACAGTCTTTTGAATACATTAGTAGGTTTTGAGTTTGTCCTTTCTCTTGGTAGTAATTCTACCTTTAGAGACTGTTAAAATTTTATTAATTGGTTTAAGATGAATTTTTAAGGAGAAAAATAGATAATTTGTAGCTATTTGGTTGGTGGTGAGTGCCGATTATAAATACATCTCTGTGATGATGTGCTTATTTGTTTTAATTATTCTCTAAGCTTTGGAAGCACTAGTGTTCAGCTGAATCTGCTTTGCCCTAACAAAGGTACTAGCAAGTTGTGGTGATCGCTGGTGGGCAGTGGATGTACATTTGTTTATTGGGAGTGTGATTTTTCCTTTTATTCCTCTTGAAAAGATATGATTCTAATTTTCTTTTATGTTGCTAACTTTGAATTTCCATGCTTCTCATATGCACAGTGTAAGTCAACATTTGAAGTTAATTCCCAACAGTCATGTAAATAAGTTATCAGTTCAGTGGGACACTGCTTGAATTTTGTGTGTGTGTGACAGGATCTGCTCATGTACATACAAGAAAAAAAAAAGGAAACAAAAGACCTGAGTGTTCCTGCCACACAACTCCTTTGTTTGGAATCACTATTTTTTAATTCAGAAATTGCTATTAAAATTCTGGTTAATTAAGCAGACCGTTCAGGAAATCATGGAATCCTCAAAAAGTCTTTATCTGTCTTTCAACAGCAGGACCTACTTATATACTTAATATTAAATGTATTTAGTAAAAAGGAATTCACCTGGAGTTATGGAAGCTTAGGAATGCTCATAATAGAGTGAGTTAATATCCATCCAAAATACTTGAATGGCAGAAGACTTAATGTGGACATTGAGACAAGTTTCAGGAAACCCAAAACTGGGCTTTATTAAGTGAATCTCCTATGATCTAATAAACTGACAGATTTAGTAACAGCATTTCTACTTTATGGAAAAGTACTTGTTCAAGAATTTTTATATTCAGACTTCCTATTTTTACTGTATAGCAGCATCAAATATCCATGAGGCTATAGAATGACTCTACATGTGCACATTGTTCAAATATGGCTCATTAAAGAAGCCCTAAGTTCGCTCATTCTGTCTAGACTCCAGTTAACTGGAGAGAGACAGAGATGGCAGAGAGGAAGATGACAGAAATCGAGAGATGACAGAGGGAGTTACTTTAAAAATGGAAGAATTAAGGAGGAGCCATCCCCAGAAAGTATCAGTTGTAGCTAACATTTTTCAAGTGTGTGATTAGCAAGGGTCTCCTCAATAATCCTCATGGAAACCTGTGGTAAATGTACCATTGCCATGCCTGTCATTTCACCGTAAAAGCTGTCTTTCTGGAATTCTTCTCACATGTAAACCTGTGCTTCTGTGCTTGACCGTCATGAACCATGAGCTCTAGCACACGTCTCCCCTCCCTCCCTTGAGTAAGAGCAGTGACTCCTACCACCCTGGGCTTATGCTTTCAGTGTCCCACGGTAGAATCTCCAGCTTAAATCTAAGCAATTTTGTATTATATAAAAGAAGAAAAACAGTGATGTTCAAAAGACAATTAGAATCTCCCTCATCCTCAAGGAAACCTGCAAAGAAGAGTAAGTTTAGCCACCACAGAGAGATAAATAACTATATCGTTCAACAAAAGCCGTTGGTTTCTACATCTTTCACATACTTTTGATTTAATTCTTTAACTCACAGATGTTCACATGCTTAACGAAAGAAGTAATTGGCTCTAGGACTATATCCCTATTTAGATTTTATCAATGTGGGAATTTATAGTTTATACCCTAGACTTAATTGGTCCCAAACAAGGTTAATTATTTTGGAACATTTCAAAATGCATGCACGAGGAATTCTACATTCAACTATTTTCTGCATAATATCTTTCTGACATTTGAGGGGGGAAAGTATTAGCTTCAGCTTCATTTTCTACTTATCTTAGAAACCTGTCAGTACAATGCCAGAATGCAGTAAGCTGGATTTCCAGAGGGTCATATTACAAAATTGGAGCATTCTAGCTATAAAACTTAAAACTATTCTTCAAAGTGGCTATGTTGCCATAGGTCCAGTTCTACCAAAAGAAGCATATAACACAGGATTTTCAATTATAATAGTACTTTTACTATAGAAATAATTTAACTTTAGTAGCAGCTTAATAAATCCTATTTATAATTATAGATACTTATATTCACAGACCATATATACTTATTTTATCTGAGCACATGTCTTTAGAATAGTCATATTTATAAAGAAAATTATATTAGAAATTTATAGCATGTAACATTCGAAAAAATTTATCCTTAATTTCAACGTATTTAAAAGAATTCCACACATTTCTATGTTTCCCCTACTTAACTTTCACATAAGTCAAGGTCCTGTTAAATTCAGATTAAAACGTTTCTTTCAATTCCCACCACAAAATATTTGTTTAGAATGAGACCAGAGATCAATGCCGGAAAGTAAGAATGAATGAGAGACTAGTCCTTCAAATGTAATGAACTTGTCCTCTGTCAGTGTTCCCTCCAAGTGCAAGCCTGCTCCTTTCCTGCAATTTCTGTCCTATTTTAATGTCAAATGGACTTTGTGGGAAATGAGCAGAGGGGCTGAAGAGATAAGAGCTGGACAAATAGTGAAGCAGGCACAGACTCCAAGGCGCCCTGGACTTCAAGTCTTCTCGGGGGACCAAAGGGAGCCAAAGAGGGGCAGGCGGCAGCCGGAGTGGATAGCAGCACTGATGGATGGCCCAATCTACACTTCTATAGGTATTCAAACTTACAGCAAGCCCCACAAGATGATCCCTGTCCTGAGAGTTAAGAGTGGCTTTGCGTTTCTCTTTATGCACATTTTTTTCCACAGGGTTTAATTAGGCTACATTTTAAAAGTTATAAAAACAACAGAAGTCTAAGAAGAAAGCTGTGACTTGGCGGGGGTAACATCTAGAGTCAGAAGATGCAAGTCTTGTAGCTTCTCTGACTTTACATTGCTTTTAAATTTTTCTAAATCATCTATACAACATATAAGAACATCTTTTTCTTATATGTAGGGTTGATGTGACAGTTGAGGATAATGTGTCCAAAGCTTCTTTGTGTACATCCTGGTTGGCCAGGTGCTCAGTGAGATGGCCATCACTATCATACAACATGATATACATGTACCATATTATAGACATATGATACTATGATGCCCTATACAGATATTGCAATGCTATATAAATTATTATATCACAACATGAGTAGATGATTGAATGTGTTGGGCCCCCTGTTGGGTAACTCTTCTGCTTGGACCTTCTGTGAGCCTGTGAGTACAGTATAGATTCCTGGTTTTCCAATGGGGGTGATCCCTTTGTCTCAAGGGATTCATCTGATTGCCAAATGCCAGGTGGGTGACCAAATAAGTTAAGGACTCTGGGATTCATTCAAGGATAACAGGTTTTCAAGTCCATCTCTTCCTGGAATAACCTTTAAGCTAGAACATGTAAGATGTTTTAGAGAAAGTCATATTTTAAAAAGAGAAGCCTGAGTGTGACCAAAAAGGGACACCTGGATCACAATCCTCTTTGGAAGATCCAAAACACTATCTAAGTTTGAGCTTGTTTTCCTTAGTTCTAAAGAATGAGTTTTGGATATCTAAACCATTTTGTCTTTCCAGTCCCTGCTTTGAGCTGAAAGAGAAAGAAGAAGTAGCAATTTCTTCTTTCCTATATACTTTCACAAATGTTATTAAAGGTTACAGAAAATTAAGACAATAGGAATGTTCAATTTATAGCTTCCAGAGATGAAACTACAAAATTAATGGGGCAGTGTATTGCATTTGAGAGGCATGAAACAATAAACGGCATTAAAACATTTATAGCTAAAATATGGGGCTCTGCCAGCAGATTAGAGCTCTCCAATCACCCTGCTTTCTGGAGGCAATCCTAATTTTGGTTCCTTTGTTTCCAGCAGCACCAGTAGTCCTAAAACAGCTCAGAGACTCCATGCATCAGCGATTCTAATAGCACCATAAGTTTATGTCATGGAACATGTGAAAATAGAGTAATGAAATAACATTTGTTTATGTGGATGTGAAAATCAAACATGGCCCCTTTGTGTGTAGCTTTTCCTAGGATAGTTCTAGGATGTATGCCACTAGAGATTAATAAAAGTCGATGAAGAAAGGATTTAAAAACTGCAATTCAAGTTCAGACACATTAAAACATATAGATATGAGAATGCATTAAATTTGTAAAATTTCAGAGTATTTGTACCAAGTCTGACCCTGAAGTTTAAGTTGTTTGAAGAGGTTAGAAACAATTGTTTTCTGCTGGTAGTCATTTAAAACACTTCTAATGAAAACCCAAGTGTTCTCCATCAACCTGATTCAAACTCTCCCAGATGTTTCTGAGAGCCCAATGGGACCCATTCTCAATGGTCCTTTAAAATGCTGATGAACTTTTGGGAGCTGATTGTGTGACAAAAAAGTCTGTAGGTTTTTTTTTTTTTTTTTTATCTCCTAATTGACTTATATAAAGGTTATTTCTCAGAGCTTTAAATTTAATTTTGTAATTAAGTTTTATTCCCCATGGGATTCTGTCCAATTTTGAGGATGACTTATATTTTAGAAATTTACTTCAAAGTTTCTTTGAAGTCTTTAGGTTTATTAGATGTGAAGACACTTGAGTGTCTTAAGTTTACTAAGGTACATATTAGAACTACCTCCTCCATTCCTGAACGGCAGATTCAGAATGATCTTG